CTTTCCCCTGCGTGGATGCCTGCCAGAGTTGATTTGGGCAGGCCTTGCCTCAAAGGACACTCCCAAACCATCAAGCGCCCCGCCCCCCCCCGCCCCGGGGGGGGCCCCCCCCACCCTACACGCCCTCCCCCATCCCCCCCCCCCGCCGCCCCCCTTGGCCCCCCCCCCCCCCCAGCTAGTCATCTGTGCTGCACTGAATCAGATGGACACCCTATGCCCACTGGAGCTTGGCAGTTTACCCAGGAGTAAGTATAACACTCCTGGATGGTCATAGGAGGAACTTGGGAGAGTACCTCTTTCTTAGTCCAAGACCTAAAGGCCAAGTTCAAGGCTTTGGCTCCGTGGACCAGATATGAAGCAGGGTGTCTCCTGTTCTCTCGTAACCCTGTATGAACAAAGAAGGGAAGAGAGCCACTGGCAGCCACCCTAGCACTGCCCCAAGGCCTGCCCAAATCAACTCTGGCAGGCATCCACGCAGGGGAAAGAGGCCTGGTCTGAGAGCTCTGACTGTCTGGGCAAGTTCTCCGGCTAAGTCAATTTGGAAGGGGTGGGTGAGCAAGACACAGATGCAGGCAGCTGGGGAGAAAATCTGCCCAGAACAGAAGCTCCCTGAGGACACCTATTTTTGAGAGGGTACACATGCAGGGCAGGCCTGGCCTCAAAGGACACTCCCAAACCATCAAGTGAGAAGCAGGGGGACTCTTAGCCCTCCAGACTGTGTCCCTCCTCTAGAAGCAAAGGAATGCACAGTAGGGCAGGGGAGTGGGAAACAGGGGGGCCTGGGCCCGAAGGGCAGCCATTGGCCCCAAACCTAGGAGGCAGAAGCCCTGAGGAATGTTGCCCCAACCCTCACCCCAGCCCCCTCAAAAGCCAAGGCATGCACAGCAGGGCAGAGAAGGGACAGATGAACAGAGGGGAGACAAGAAGGGACTCCTTACCTCGGAAGATGTCCAGGATGTGCTTTCCCACGTACCAACAGATGGTCTCAAAATTGGGGAACCTGAAGAGGTCAGCTGTACTCAGTCTCTTCTCAATCTCGTAGGCCCTGGTGAAGGAGGGGCAGGGCAGGGTAGGGGTGTGAGAGAAGTGAGGTGAGCCAGATCCCTGGTGCCTCGCTCTTCCTTTCCTGTCCCCCCCTGGGCCTAGCACATCAGGCCACTGAATTGGGGTGGTCCCCAGGAAGCTAGGCTCCGTGCTGCTCGGCCTGAGGGGGGTGGGCATTTGTTGGGCTCAGGCAGTGACTGCTGTCGGGCTTCTCCGTGCCCTCGAACCCTCTGCTTCGAATGGTCCCCATTTTGGGTTCGTGGCAGGGAGAGGGAGGGAAGGGCTGGAACCAGTGGCCAACCTGAGGCCTGCACTCACTTGAGCTGCATCTCGATGTTGAGGCTATGTAGGAAGTTCCCTCCAAAGGCAAGGCAGTCCACGGGCGTCAGCACCGCATGGATCCAACCTGCCAGCACCACAGGAGAAAGTCACACCCACTACAGGCTGGGCCACGACAGGGCCACAGGGACATAGGGCCAGGCTCAGGGCTCGCTCAAAGCCCTCCTCTGCTCAGGTCTGTTCTCTAACCCAGCTAGAAGCCAGGAGAACCCCCATGCCCCTAACTGCCCCCCCCCCCCGGCCGGCCTGTGGAAGAAAGTCTTCCTCAGCTTCCCAATGATGGGGGTGGGGTGGGGGTCAAGGGGCCCCAGGTCTGCTTCAGCATTTCTCCTTCTGGCCTGGAGGGAATGTTCTCCCACCTGTTCATTCTAGCCATCATCGTGACCTAGTCCACTCTGCCCATGTCTGCTAGCTTCACCTCAGAGGCAATCCCTCACTGCCAGCAGTTAAAGCCATGCCATGGAAGCGAGCACAACAGGCCGCACTTCAAACCTTCCGAGTCCCACATTCCTCACTGTGATCCCAACAGCCACCACTGCTGAGCACTTCTCCTTCTTAGAGCCCTCTCCCTTTCCTTGGCACCAGGGACTCTGTGTTCTCCCACTTCTCTGCCTCTCCTGACTGTCACCTTCACTGGGACCATCCCCAAGGGGTGCATGTCCCCCATCAAAAAGGCAGGTACAGGAGGGGTACACATAACAGGGGAGAAGCTCCTGTGAGCCCTAGACTTAGCCAGGGCCATCTCCTCCATGCCCTGAGGAGGGTCCTGGCTAGCCCTGATGGCCAAGGTCCCCTATAGGCAGCACCATTGCCTTCCTCCTTCCCCTGAGAGGCCCAAAAAGAACCTGTGGGAATGAAGAGTGTCTGGCCTTGCTTCACGGAGCATTTGTAGCACATGTCCACCTGGTCCCCAAAGAACATCTCTCGCTGGTTGGAGGAGCTGCTCCAGCACTCGAACAAGGACAGGTTGGCTGGGGTTGGGCGGATTAAGTAGAAAACCTTCTCACCCTGAAGAAGAAAGGGGGGGTGGGGAGAAAAAGAAAAAGAAAAAAAGAGAGACAGACAGACATTGAGGGAACCTTGACGAAGCAGCTGGAAGGGGCCTCAGTTTACAGACAAAGCAACTGAGGCACAGGGATGAACATGGGGTCCTGCCCCCAACAAACACCCCTAATTCAAATCAGCCCCAAGCAGCAATTGCTTTGAAGGGTGGTAAATGCCAGGGCCAGGCCTCAGTCTGTCTGAATGAGCGGATGCTTAGCTGTGTGCTGGCCTTGCTACCCGGCTCAGCCTAAGGAAAAGATGACGCTCATGAATGTCAACAGTGTTTTGGGCAAAAGCTGCCCCCACCAAGAAAGGGGCTGCCAAGAGAATGTGCTACGCCATGGTCAGCGGGAACTCGGCTCTCCTGAGAAGCACTAACTAAGGAAGTCTTCTCCTGTCTGTCAACAGGCAACATCTCATGCCTTTTTGCCTAGACTGTCTACACTTGAAAGGAATGGCCTCTGCCTTTTCCTAAAAATCACTGCCAACTCCCACAAGTTGGTCCCTGGTTGGGACTGGCCCTCCCAAAGAGGCAGGAGGAAGGTCAGATTTCTGTTACACTGAGTTTCTATCACTCAGGTAAAGAATGACTAGGGAAGGTGGCCAGAGACAGACCCATAGGACATCGAGGTGGCCTAGAGAAGTGGACCCTAACCACATCAGGGAGTTTCCTAACCAACAGGTCACCTTCACAACAAGCAAGGTCAAACCACCAAGTATCTGCACATGACTTAGAAGACTCCCTCAGAAACCATACCCAAGCCTGGTCACCCCCTGAACAGACTGGGAGGTGGAACTGGGGGCCTGGATTATCCCTGGAAACAGTCAATCTTAAGCAAGGAAGCTTGCAGGGGCTGGAGCAGGGCACAGGGCCTCACCACCTACCCTGAGCACATGGTACCAGACAGAGGTGCCACCAAAGTCAATGTGGAAGTCCGTGTAGCTGTCCCGCACACCCATGAGGCAATACTTTTGCACGCTAGGCCGTTCAAACACAGACTCCTCCGGCCACAAGTTCTCCACCCAGGAGAGCTTCCGGACAATCTTAGGGGTCTCCACGAGATTTGAAAGCCTGGAAACAGAGGGGTCAGGGTAAATGTTTGTCATGACTCCGTCTTCTCGGACAACTGGGGGATTCTTAAGGCAAAGGATTATAGATACAGAGAGGTGCTGGGTTGTCTGGTACTTTGAAACAGATAAAACTGAAAAGAATTCTTTCCCAGAGTCCACAGGCACGTGCGGGAAGAGAACAGTTAGGTTCTATTGTTACTTTGACAGCCTTTTGCTGTCCCTGCTGGCCTACTTCCAATCTCCCCAGACCAATCAACCAGCCCCCGACCCGTTCCTGTTCTCCACCAAGTCTTGCCTTTGGTCATAGGGTTCTAACTCCCTCTTCGGAATCTTGGAGCAACTACTGTCTGTACTACATGGCTACTAGGCTTCTTGGCACATCCTTCCTTCTATGGAAAGCGAGTCCCCCAAGGGTGGGGGAGGTAGAGAACACTTCTCTGTACTGGCCCCAAATGAGAGCATGCAAGGTTTTCAGCTTTCTTAGAAGCCTGACAAAAGCTTAACTTGAAGAGAAAATGCTTTGGGGCCAATTTTGCAAAATCTACTCCTAAGGACAAGGACTTATTCTGAGACCTGAATGCTACTCATACTGAGCTTTGTCTTGGTACAGACACAAAAATCAATCAAGCAATGGGCCTTTCCTGAGGGCTAAATGTAGGCCAAGCCCTGTGCTGAGCGTGTGTGAAAAGGGGAAACCAAAATAAAACAAGTGAGGTGATCACAAGGCCCCCACACTCACCTGGTATCAGAAAACTCGAGGCTGATGACGTTGAGAACTTTCTCCCTTTTGCTGCTACAGTAATAACGTACAAAGTCACCAAGTTTCATCTTGCAATCGGCCTGACGGGTCACGTCAATAACATCAATCTCTTTGTCAGAACCTGGGGCAGCGGGAGGGGCATGGTAAGAAGTGGGCCCTGGGCTCGGGCCATCACGTCACCCTCCCCTACCTAGGAGGCAGCTCAGTGCCAGCTCTCCTCAGGGGAGAGCCCAAAGGCCTTCCCTCTCCCTGCATGAATAGCCACTTCTTTAAAACAAAAAGAGCCTTCCATAGGTATCATCTTATTTTAGCTATGAGGTAGTTACTTTAAATACCATTCTTCCCTTCCAACAGATGAGGAAGCGAAGGGTCAGAGAGGTCCACGGTCACACAACTGCTAAGGCACATTGGAGATTAAAGGCTGGGTCCCTCCCAACTCCAACCCCCACCCCTCGCCCGCCAGCATAAGGCAGCCTAGTAAGGAAGGAAGGGGCCCTGGCATGAGTCAGCACCTGGGCCATCAGACTGCAAAGGGAGGCTTCCACAGAGCTCCAGCCACTTACCGACATAATACTCCACTTCCTTCACAGTGAATGCTGGGGAGGGCAGGGTCATCCCCAGGCCATCCTTCTTAAGCACCAAAATGGGCACACTGAAGCTGTTCTCTTCCAGGTACTCCACTGTCAGCTGGGCCCCCGTGGGCTTCAAGATCACCTCATCGGCACTGGGGAGACGCAGAGGAGAAAGGCACATCACAGCAGGGAAGGGCTAGTCCCTGGCCTGTGGCCATCCTGACCGAGCCCAGTGGCTGGCTACATCAGTCCCACTCCTCAAAGCCATGAGGCTGCCCCAGCTCAGCAGCTCTCATATGTAGCACCATCTCACATAAACGCCACACTCCTATTCTGTCCTGATGGCAGCCCTTTCAGGGAGACAGAGCAGGCAAAGGCAGAAGTCAAAATAAACTCTGAGAGGCTGTGTTACCACTAGGAAGAGGCCTGTGGCACTGAGACCCTGGAGCTGTGCTGTCGCTTTGGCCTAGAAATGGCAGGGAGCATGAGAAGGATCAGAGAAAAATTCCATCTTCAATTAGGCAACTATCCCAAGACAGAGTGAATTTGTAGACGCTTCCGCTGCCTGAGATAGTTCAGATTCAGATAAAGTGATGCTCCCTTCAAGAACGAGTGAGCCAGGGTGAGAGGTGAACAGCACCTTGGGTGAGGAGGGCAGGCCTGGGTGACGTCCCCAGGTGGCCTCTCTCTGCATCTTGGAATGTGCTGGCCACCAACCTACAAGTGAAGGCTGTGCCCCTTCTTAATGGACGTGGTTCCAAGATGAAAAGAGGCAGTGGAGCATGCCTGCCAAAGGACATTCTGGCCAGGTCCTAGGGCAAGAGAGCCAAGGTACTGCCACCCACCTCCACCCAGATGCCCTCACCTGCGGAATGGCCTTCCTCGAAGCTCCCGGATGAACATGGGGCTCCCAGTCTGCACTGTCTTCCCAGCCTCTTTGCTCACTATCAGTTCCTGCACCTTTGGGGTCCCTCGGCGCCTTTTCACTGCACCAAGAAAAGTATGGAAAGGGGGAGAGGGAGGGAGGAAGAAACTAAGCATTTTTTAACACACACACACACACACACACACACACACACATCTACATCTATGTTTCAGTGCCTACTATGTGCCAAGCACTGTGCTAAGCACTTTACAAAGATGATCTCATTTGATCTTCATGACAACCCTGGAGGAGAACACCGTAAGGTGTTCTTACCACAGTTGTACAGTTGGGGAAACTGAGGCAGAGGTGAAGCACCTTGCTCAGCATTGCAGCTAGTAACTGAAGCCAAATCTGAACTCGGGTCTTACTGACTCCAAATCCAGAGCTCTAGCTGTTGCCTCATCTAGCTGCCACCTAATGAAGCTGGGCTTGGGCTGGAGAGCTGATGCCTAGGGCCCTATGCTCACAGCACGGGATGACCGGGCACGTCCCACAGAGACCCGAGAATATTGGGAATCAGGATTCTAGAATGGTGTTTGACTTCCTAAAAGAATGCCATGGAAAGAAGATGGTGCCATTCTACCCTGCCCAAAGCTGCTGGTCTGCTGAAGCGCCCCAGGTCCCAGTACACTCCCAGAGAACCTAGGCCAAGGCAGCGGCAGCTTCCTCAGGTCCCCCCAACACTCACCCCTTTCTCTGTCCACAAGAGAACAAGACTTGACTTACTAACAGAAGGCCCATGGAGGACCTCACAATTGGGGCAGTGGTAGAGGTCAATGTCAGCTGCTTTCTCCTCTTCTACGCCGACACAACTGGAAAACAGATGGAAACATCCCAATTAGTCCAGGGTTCAAGGTGCTCTCCTCCAAGTCCCAGGGACAAGAGCCTTCTAAACAATAATGACATAGAGTTGTGACACGGGACCCATTTTTTACACACCACTATTCAGGTTGATCAGAGAAATGAGACGCAGGGGCCACACACAGCTGCTCAGATCTGTCTGTGCCTCCAAGGCTGGGATGGCTCAGCATAGCAGGTAGCCCCTTTCCCACTGAGGCCCCTGGCTCTGCCTGTCCTCTGAGACCAACAAGGACAAGTGGCAACCTCCAAACACTTGAAGACAGCTCAAGAGTTCTCAGCATGAGGGGCAAAGGCTAATTGTTTTGCTACCTCCAAACTTAAGAAAGTGACGGAGGAATGATGAGGTCCGCTAGGCATTTATTCAAGTCATTCACTGATGAACACGTGAAATAGCCTGGGGCCATACACAGATCCCTGGGGCACTCCACTAGAGACCACAAAGGGGCTTACCCATTCATGAACAAAATGAACAAGCCTGAGTTTAGAATGCTCCTCAAGGGCTTCCCCACAAGAACAACAAGAGAGAATTCGGTAAAATCTCAGGAAACTCCAGTTAGTGAGTGTCCAAAGAGGAAATTAAGTTTGTTTGGTCTCAGTATGTTCTGGTAGAAAGAGTGTGCCAGCTGGCTTAAGCGGGGCAGAATTCTGCTGAGCCCAACAGGCAGAATGGAGGCCCTCCTCCACAGGGCCATCCTTGATCCTTCAGCGGCAGACCCTCTGAGCACCCAGAGGATCAAAAGGAAATCACTAAGGCACCTAGAAGATGTGTGATGAGAGCTTTCCACAACATCAAGGGTTCTGTGGCCACTTAAGAGTCTAGGTCAGGGCATATCGAGAGGCCCTCTCTGCTGTGAAAATGCCATGCTGGCTCCGAGACCCAGTGGAAGGGGCACAGGCAATGTTAAGGCCTAGGTCAGACTTGCACACATGTGCCTGCCATTTCCAGAGATATCTCCCCTTTATATTCCCTCCTCAGGTCAAATGGGACCCGGGCCCCATTCAAAGTGCTGGCAAAGGTGGTAAAGGAAGCAGGGTCAAGGCCCCAAGGTCTAGCTGGGCCAGGCCCACGTGCTCCTCAGAAAACAGAGTCTCTTCCCAGGCACATACATACTTGGGGGAGATGATGGAGAAGAGGAGTTTCTCCCTATGGAGTGTGGCTGCCGAATCCTACAAATTTCCTTGCCTCCACCAGAAATGCTAGGCTGGGGGAGGGAAACCCCTCCTGTCGAGGTGGCCAGAGGAGAGCCAAGGTATAGCACCAGCAGCAGCCAGAAATGAACTGGACACATCGGACATCACCTTCTGAATGACCCTTTCGGCAATCGCAGCAGCTGGGAGGACTTGGGATGGCCACCCTCAGTTCTTTAACTGCCACTGTGTCCTAGTAGGGATGTGGACTCCAGGACCAGAAGGGGCCTGCAGAAAACCAACTCAAAAAGCCAATGAAAGGCAGGGAAGAGAAGGGGCAGTTCAAGGGATGCAGAGAAAGGGAGAGAGAAGGGCACTCCTCATGGACAGGCCACTGCCAACAGGGGCCAGCCCTGCGTTCAAGTGGGAAGCCACATGGGGAAGGGGGAGTCTGGCCATATCAGGCCCTCTGCTCAAGGCCAGCACTTGGCTTTTAATGGCCAGCCACCCTGCCCACATCATTTTATCATTCTAGATTCACAGTGCAGGCTCCCCAGGTGTTTCAGAGGTCAGCTAAAAATAGATTAGGCAGCTGGGTGGTACAGTGGTTAGAGCGCCAGGCCCGCAGTCAGGGAGACTCAGCTTCCTGAGTTCAAATCTGGCCTCAGACACTTACTAGCTGTGTGACCCTGGGCAAGTCACTTCACCCTGTTTGCCTCAGTTTACTCATCTGTAAAACAAGCTGGCGAAGGAAATGGCAAACCACTCCAGTATCTCTGCCAAGAAAACCCCAAATGAGGTCATGACGACTCAGACACGACTGAAAACAACTTAACCATGACCACCAAAAACGGATCCTCGCGTAGGGTTTAACTGTGGCATTCTTCCCTGGCCTTTTTCCAAGTCGGACCTTTGAGGAACACCTTCTTCTGGTGCCTCTTCTGAACCTGGCTCTCTCCTGGGCCATTTCACTGCACTGGCCACACTCTCCTTCTCCCATCGTGACCCTTTGATAAACCAGTCCAACTCTAGACATCTTCTTCTCCTGAATCTCTCACCCCCTTATATTGCCCAGCATACCCAGCCATCCCTCAGCCTTGGACCACTCTCACTATCAGTTCCCTTCATTCCCACACACAGGCTGCTGCACTGAAGGTGGGAAAAATCACATCACTGTTCTGACTGGGTCAGACTGTTACATGTCCCCAGGGCCCTCACTACCCCTAGGCAATCCTACCATACACACCTCACCCACTGTCCACAAAGCCCTTTCCTCCCTCCTAAAACCTCCCATTTCCTACCTCCCCCCAGCTGAAAACCCTGCCTCCTATCTTACTGAATCAAATGGGCCATTCACTGAGAGCTCCCCCTTCTCCTCATCTCCTATTACTCAGGTGCCTTCTGCCCCCATCTCCTCCCTTACCTGTCTCACACAAAGAGGTAGTCTTACTCCTTACCAAGAACCAGCCTCCACCTGTACTAGCCATCCTCTAGCAGAGCAGCCCCTCTGTCATCTTCAATTACTCCCTCTCTCCTGGCTGCTTTTCAATTGGCTCCAAACATGTCCATGTCTCCCCCATCCTCAAAACCCCCTCACTTGATCCTTCCATCCCCACTATTATATCAGATCTCCCCTCCTTTTAGTAGCTGCCGCGACTTTCTCTCCTCACGCTTTCTTCTTGACCTTTTAGAAACCAGCTTCCAACCTCACCATTCCACTTTTAACTGTTCTCTCTGAAGTTCCCAGTGATCTCTTATTTGCCAAATCCAATAGCCTCTACTCATCCTCGACTTCTCTGTTGATCACCCTCTCTCCTCCTGGATCCTTCCTTCTCTCTAGTAGAGGTGCTTACGTCACAGCCCTAGTGTGAAGCTCCAGCATCCTTCCCTCAATCCCCATCCTTTTTGACTTCTCCATAGCCTCAGTCACCTCCTGGATCCTTCCTTTTCTCTAGGTTTCCAGGACATGCCTCTCTCTGTTCTGCTCCTTCTCGGTCTCCTTTGCTGGCTCCTTCTCCAGATCTCGCCCTCTAACCCTAGGGGTCCCCTGGGCTCTATCCTACTTCACACAGGGACCTCCTCAGCTCTCGTGGATTGAATGACCATCTATCTCCATGCTGAGGATCCTCAGATCTCCCTTTCCTGCCCCAGCCTCTCTGCTGACCTCCGATGTCTGCCTCTCAGACACCTTGAACCCGATGTCCAGTAGGCACCTGAAACTGCACATGTCTAAAACAGAGCTCATCTTCTTTCCCCCTTTCCTACTTTCCCGGCTGTTGTTGTTTGTCCTGTTTTTGAAGAAGACCGATAACACCACAACCTTGCAGTTGGCATGCTAACCCTATCCTTCCCTATTACTGTGGAGGGCAACGCCATCCTCACAACGCTCCAGGCTGACCACCCAGGTGTCATCCCGGACACCTCACTCTCTCACCACCATATCCAACTTGTCGCCAAGGCCTGTCAAGTTTCCCTTTGCAGCATCCCTTATATTTGCTTCCTTCTCTCCTCTGACCCTGCCCCCCACCCTGGTTGCAGGCCTTCATCACCTCATGCCCGGACCAGGGCACGTTGCTGGGGGTGGGGGGCTCTGCCTGCCTCCAGTGTCTCTCTACTCCACTCCATCCTCCATTCAGCCACCACAGTGATCTTCCTAAAGTGCAGGTCTCACCATGTCACACTCCCCCCCCCTCCCCCCATTCCAGGATAAACCCTAATGGCTCCCTACAGCCTCCAGAAACACACAAAATGCTGTTTGGTGTTCAAAGTCCTTCACCTCCTGGCCCCTTGCTACCTGTCTGATCTTCTTACACGTCAGGCCCTAACATGTTCTCTTTGGTCCAGTGACAATGGCCTCCTGGGTATTACCTGAACAAGTTATCTGTCCACTCAGTACTCCTCATGCACACCTGCAATGCTCCCCCCCATCTCTTCGTCTCGGCTTCCTTCGAGGCTCAGCTCAAATTCCACCCTTGAAAGCTTTTCCCCGATTACTGCCCTCTGAGATTGATTGTCTCCAATTTAGCCAGCGTCTATGTTTTCACAAACTGTTTACAAGTTATGTGTACCCCCAGGGCTTAGCATGGTGCCTGGCACACAGCAGGTGCTCAATCAATGCTGGCTCACTGGAGCCTGCTCCTAGGACTTCAGTTGGAAGTTGGGATCTGTGACTCGGCTTCCTCTTGTGGGGGTGTGTTTGGGTCCCCTCGCTCAGAGCGTTGCGGACTGGGTCCTTGGCTAGCATGGCTCTTTCTCCCTCAGAGCGCGATCCAAGGTGGATTCCACTGGGAGCCCCTAGAGTCTTGGGACATTAAGAAGGGGAGCCTAGCACTTCCAGGTGATCCCGATACCCTCAGTACAGAAAAAGACGAGGACGGGATGTCTGTGTCCGTGTCCGTGTCCTGGTGCCCCCCCCCCCCCACGGAATCAGAATTCTGTGGGAGCTCACGGTGGTACAAGGGCAACAGGTGCTCGGTTGTGAACAGGCAGCAGGAGGGCAGCCCCTCCTCCCGCTGCCCCCCAAACTAGGGCCGCCGACCACAAGGGCCAGGGCAGGAAGCCCGGGGGGAGGGGGCGCCACGCAGCCCGGGAAGTCTAAAGAGGGGAGGGGGGTGCCGAGGGGGGGTGGGGAGTGGGGCTTGGGGGGGGGAGCGCGGGGGAAGGAGCGCGGTGGGGGAGGGGCGCCGTATGCCATGGGGGGGGACGCCGGCTGGCCTCACCTGCCGTGGAACCAGTCTTGGCACAGATCGCACTCGATCATGAAGCGGGTCACGTCGTAGGGCAGCCGGCACAGGCAGTAGACCGGCGGGGAAGCCATCTTGGCCCGCGCCTGGGCCCGCGCCTCGGCCCGCTCCTGGGCCCGCGCCCCCCTCGGGGGGCAGAGCTGGCCGCCGGAGGCCGGCGGCTCCGCGGGCGGCGCGGACATGGGCGGCGCGGCCTGCGGTCTGGGGCCCGAGTGGGCGGGCGGAGCCGGGCCCGGGCGCCGGGCGGGCAGGCGGAGATCAGCGGGAGCGGCGGGAACGGCGGCACGAGCGATCGCAGCGCGGGGGGCGAATGGCGGGTACGAGCGCGAGCGCGGGCACGGCGCGAGCGCTCTCCCCGCCCCCCCGCGGTGCGACGTCACGTTACGTCACGTCGGCGGCGGAGCTGGGCCTGACTCTCCTGTGGCCTTCCGGCTCGGCCGGGGCCCCCCTCCCCAAGCGCGGCTCCTCGTACAGGAGGCGCGGCGGCGGCGACGGCGGCGACGGCGACGACGGCGACGACGACGACGACGAGGACCAAGGCGGCGGCCGCCCCGAGCCCAGGTTCCGTCCCCTCCCCCAGGGGGGCGGAGCCCGAGGCCAGCTTCCGGATCTCGCCCCGCCCCCCTCGCCGCCGCCGCCGCCGCCGCAGCGGTGGCTTCCGCCTCTTGCTGCCTCAGACTGGAGGCCAGGCTGGCGCGTGGCGTCCAACAAACTTTATTCAAAATGTCCAGGAAGTGCGAGCGAGAGAGGGAGGGAACGCCCGCGCGGGGGGCGGGGGGGGGGGGGGGGGCCAGCAGACGCCCTGTTGAGAGAGGCGTGAATCAATCCGACCTGCGCCATCAGGGGCGTGGCGGAAGGCTCCGCACCTCCCGAATGCCGGGTGGCGCAGGCGCAGCTTGCCCCGCCCCCGCCCCTCAGCCGGCGTGGAGCAGGCCCGCCCCCCGCCCCCCGCCCCCCAGTCGGAGTGCCTGGCAGCCCGGAGGGTGTGCGGGGGGCGCGCCCGGGGGAAGTAAAGGCACACCCTCGGGTATCTGGGCTTTTCCTAAAAGAAAGAACGTTTCCTTAAAGTTCGCCGGAGGCCGAGCGTTCGCGGCAGGGCTTCCTCAGGTTCCCAGCGAGGGCTGGCGGCTGGAGCATCTCTCCGCCGAGGCAGGGGTGGGGGCGGGGCGGAGTAGGGGGCAGTGGAGACCAGCGCGTTCTCCCAAACCCAGCCATTGAACCCGCCGAGGCCGCGGGGCGACCTGGGAGAAAGAGGGCCGAGCCGCTTGGTCAGTGCTTGGCCCCAATTCCGTTAAGTGGAACGGAAAGCCGCGTAGCGAGAGACGCCCTGATTCTCTCAGGCCCAGAGGAGTCAGCCTCCCTCGATCGCTGCCTCCCGCCCCCCGGGCCTCTCTGCTTTTGTCACAGGGACTCAAGTCAGCAGACGCCAAAGATGGCGAAATGACAAAGGCGATAATGCCACCGGAAGCCTGGTGCCGGGGCCCGGGCTTCTGAAGGTTTCGGGGCACCAAGCTGGGCAGTCTTCATGCTGGCATGAACAATCAAGAGCTGGGGTTTGGGGTGAGGGGGAAGCAGTTGCACTGTTCACCCTGGGAGAGACCTCCGTAACCAGAAAGGGCACAAATGCCAATCCCCTTTACGTGCCAACCCCCAACAGGAAAATGCTGCTGTGCCAAGGATGAGTCAACCTCTCTCTACCTCTTAGGCTCATTAATTATTACAGAGATAAGCAAGGAAACCTGGTATCCCAATCCTCCACCTCCAGGGAAAGCTCCAGCTGGACAATGGGAAGGTGACATTTGTTAGGAAGTTGGGCGGCTGTGAGCTTTGGAAGTGAGGCTGGGCCACTGGTATCCTTTGGTGGAACACTTGACTGGATTCCCACTAGGTTTGTGGACATCACAGTCACTGTTACCTGAATGACAGTAACTTGACATTTCCCCAAAAAGGAAGTACATAACCCCACACTTAGCAGAGTCTTTCCTGTCTTTCAGCAGGTCAGGGTTTTTATTTTTTATTACTATTTTTTTTTTTTTTTTTTTTTGGTGAGGCAGTTGGGGTTAAGTGACTTGCCCAGAGTCACACAGCTAGTGAGTGTTACGTGTCTGAGACTGGATTTGAACTCAGGTCTTCCTGACTCCAAGGCCGTGCTCTATTCACTGTGCCACCTAGCTGCCCCCAGGTCAGGGTTTTTAAAGTTCCATTGTGATTCGTGCTAGCCAAAGACCAAAAGAACCCTCATTACCTCCACAATGCCGCAAAAAACCCCTCATTTCCCAGTCAAGGGCTAGTCTCCTGAAACCCCCCTCTCAAGGCCCTCTCACATCTCAAGGGTCCATTTTCCTGGCCAACAGTCAACACTGTCCTCTATCTAGCGTAAGCGTTCCTCAGTCTCTCTTATTTGTACTCCATTTTTCAATATCCAGAAACCAAAGTGGAACAAGATAAAGGGAAGCAGGGACGCCAAGTCCCCAGGGAAGTCTGGATGGTAGGAAGAAGACCAAGACAAGTTGACCAAGAAAGCAGCAAATGGGGACCACGTGACTTTCTTCTCTCCATACAGGGTGCATTATGGTCATGGGGGTTTCCTCTTAGAACCAGCTAGAAATTTCCTCCTGGCCCCTTATCAATCCCAACCAATTACTGAGAGGACAAAGCTGAGTATGCAAGGCAAATAGGTTTGAAATGGTTTGCAATATTTCACAAGTGCCTCGAAGCAGCAAACAAGCAGTCACCAAAGAGATGGGGGGTTCAGGGGGTTTGAGGTATTCAATGAATGGGGGTGGGGGGACAGGTAATCATAAAGAAACATATCCCTCTTAGAAGAGCCTAGTCATCTGGCACATTAGAGGGGAATGTTACTTCCTGGAGAGGCTGTGACCAGCCAGGAGATTAGACCCCTAAAAAAAAGCATGAAATCACTCAAGTTATCAAAGGCCTCACCTTTGAGGCCCGAGAGCTATGCCGAGCCTCATCCAGAAAAACAAAGCTGCCCACAGATGGCCATTCTCCTGATGCTGATCATCCAAGGGGCTGGCAGCTGGGCTGGCAACCAAACCCTCTTCCTGGGGCCCCAGATTAGAATCTTTGGAGCCAAAGACTAATGAAGTGGTACAATGTCAGTAAACAAATGGCTCCTTGCCCCTGATGCTAGTCAAATGGTCCCCCTCAGTCAAGAAGCTTGAGGCAGCCACCTATCTCAGCCCTGGCCAAATGGCTGATTCTCCAAGCCCTTCTCCCTCCCCCACCTCTGGCACTCCTGGAAGAAATGACCATGCTCAAAGGGCTCTCCAGGTACTAGAAGCTTGTTGCAAGGTCAGTGTTTCTCTCTTGAGAAATACCTATTGGATCAATCTTTGGATCAAACAGCATTTTCCATGTAGCTTGGAGGGAAGGACTAAACCTTAACAGGGTTTCTGGTGAACCCTACCCCTGTGTTAACAGCATCAGTATTTCTGGGGAACATGTGAGGGAAGGGAGAGCTCTGGGGCTATAGATAAAGGGCATGTGTGTGGACATACATGGCCTCCTAGATACAAGATTGGATGCACCCAGAAAAGCACTCAGTCACATGTGCAGACACACCCCCACACCCCCACATCCACAGTCCAATTTTAATCTATCCCTTTGTACCTTAACCTCTGGGAAGTTCTCCAGTCCTTCCATTGTACAGGTAACACATCAAATCAGGGGCAGGAATATCTGCCCCAAACTTGTCTGATTCACTTGAACCCCCTAGTATGAGTACCAAGACCATGCATCTTTTGCACATATGTGAAAAACCCAAATCAATTTTAATCATCACTAACCCCCCCCACCACCAAAAAACATAGCTATCTGAGTGTCTGGCAGTCAAGCTACTTACTGACTGAGCTAGAGGCCAGAAGAGAAGCAGGCAGAAAAACTGGTTGGAATTAGAATTGGAAACATCTACTCTGGATAACCTTAACTGGGTGTCATGTCCATTACGCGGAAGAAAGCTCCTGGGGAGACAAGAAACTGTAAACTGGAGCCAATGCCAATGGAGGGAGATTCTCTGATGGCACTTACGGGGTGGCCTTGGGCCCAGGGGAAATCAATGAGGTTTGTTTTGCAACCACCTTGGACCAGAACTGACCCAGGACCTAGGGCCAGAACAAAAGGGTGGCTGGGACCATTCTAGGAGGCCAGGTTGTATACTCATACCTTCCTCTAATTTAAGCCTGGAATGAGGAAGGGGCATTTTTCTTAGAAGCCTATAGTTCTCAGCTTCTGTAGTCAGATGCAGCCTCTCCTGCCACTTGGCTACTGTCTCTGGGTAAGGCATCCCGGAACAGGGCTGGCTCTTCATCCAGGCTGTTGGGATTGCTGTTTACCTGGGGCTGGGGAAGACTAGCAATGTACTTACTGGGCTTGGACATTCCATCTGGAGAACTCTGGAAAGACACAAAGGCTAAGACGCTGCAACCCTAGGGTTGCAGTTGTAGATGCCTTGGAAACAGGGCAGCTACAATCCAATGCTGCCACACACAGAGGGAATCACTTGATTGTTGGCAATAGCCATGATTTCTTCAGTATGGGCAAGTCACAGCCCCTCCAAAGCCTTTATAGACAGCTTTGAAACTTGCTTTAGTCAAAGAATTTCATCCCACAAAGGCCAGTCTGCCAATGCTCACTGTTTAGCTCTCATGCCATTAACAGTCTTGCATATAGCTAGGTGTGAAAAAAATGTTTGTTGAATTTAACTGAGTTCCTTGAGCTCAGCCATGCTGATGGTGGCAGATATGGGCCTTCCAGGAGCTGTTAGGAATGGATTCAAAATGGGCCATGGCTATGTTATGAAGCTGCCTACTGTGACTGAGCTTGACTCTGTCAAGCCCAGATGAAAAGAACAGAGCAAAGAGTTCACACTGTGAAATACTGTCCTCTCATTCAAGTTCCAAGGGTCCAAGGAACCCTGGCTTAGACAAGTGACCAAAGCTGCTTATGTTACAACCACAGCAACCCTGGGAGAGAGACAGCTGACTGGGGCCAGGGAGCACCTAAAAGGCACATTTACTCTCTTCTGGCCTTTGGAGAACTTGCCAGCTGGGAACTGTCCACACCTGCAGGAAGGGA